AAAAAAAAATCTAGTGTACACTTAAAATCAGGGCACTTTATTGTGCGTATCTTATTCCTCAATTTAAAAAAATCACAACCTACTTCTTAAGCCATGTGTGATGATTTTTGATTGGGAAAATATACTTCTACATATATTAGAACCACCCTTTGAAGGCACCATGACCACGTCTGGCCTTTCTAGGCTGTGCCCAACTGAGAGACCCGTTTCCTTCCTTTTGAAAACCTGTATTCATTCAAACCTGTAAGAGGCATGTTTCAGCTAGCTCAGTCTGAAAGAGATAGGGGGCATTTTGTTCAGGGTTTGGGTGTATGATATTTCTGCGTAAGATACTGCCTTACAGATCAATTGCTTCTCCAAATAATGTTCAATGAATTAAACTGAATTCATGCAAAGGTGATTTAAGGATAGGGCATGTGCATTGTGTTTCCAGGATATACACACACAGGCACTGTGCTAGATGATTTACCTATGGTCTCTAGAATTGCCACAGAAATCCTGCAAGCCCTATTTTATAGATGAAAAACTGAGTTTCAGATGTAAAGTAACTTATTCAAGTCCTATACTGATGGGAAATGGAGGAAATCATACCTACTAATGTGTATAAATGAATTGTTTGGGGAATTACATTAATATAATAATGTAAAATACTTTGCATCATGCCTGGAACATGGTAAGTGCTAAATACCTAGAAGTAGTGATTATTATTATTACTAATAAAGATAGAAGGGAAGTTGTAGAGATAGTGGTTAAGAAAATTGGGTCTGAAATCAGATCTGATTTTGATTCCAGAATAGTGGCTCACTACGTGACCTTGAGCAAATTACTTAGCCTTTCTAAACCTCAGTATCACATGTAAAATATTTTTTTGATACAAAAATGTATTTAATTGAGGTACATCAAAAGAGAAAGGATTAAATCATTTTACTAACCCATTGATACAAAATTGATTGTTTATTGCAGCAAGGGCCTTGAAATCATTGATGAAAAATTATAAAATTTAAATTACTTCAACTTTGATCTTAAAATGCTAACACATTTTAAAACGGAGATATCTCATTTAAAAATTGCACATATTTAAATTCTATTTTTAAGGAACATACAATAAATACAAACGAATTAAGGCAACAAAAATATTTTTAAATCTAATGCTGTGGTATAATAAGCAAAAGCAATGCTGATACTTTTTTTTTTT